TGCGGCCCAAAATGACTCTGTTTACGACTCTTTGTCTGGCTTTCGAGTTTCGGGTGGAGATAGTGAGGGTAGGGAGAAACAGTACAGAAGCCCATAAAGAGCCACCCGTGCGTGCACTGCATTCGGAGTACACCCTAAGACCGAAACTCGAAGCCCCGACTTGAGGTCTTTGAGCTTTGCTCCCATGGAGTACAGGGCTGTGAGGGGTTTGGCGAGCTAACGCCTAAAACCTGGAGGCTGTCAGGGGTTTGGAAAATTCAACCCCAAACCCTACCCCAAACCCTAAACCCCGAACCCTGCCTGAACCCGAAAGGGTGAGGGCTTTCGGCTTAGGGCCGGAATAAGGTCAGCCTAAACGCTGTCGGCTATCGGCTTTGGATTTCGGGTTTTGGGTTCAGAGTTCGCGTTTAGGGTTCGGGGGTCTCTAAGGTACCTCTTCCCGACTAGAAAAAAGAAGCTTTAAGTTCGGGCTTAGGCCTACAATTGGGTTAGAAGTACGGTTGTACTTACCATGAACCTCCAAGTAAGCCCTAAACCCCGTCCGACCCTAGCGCCCACTGGGCCGGTACCTGGGCGCCTTAGGCCGAAGCCCCAAAAATCCCAAAGCCCGAACCCTGAGCCCAAAACCCCTGCACCCTAAACCCAAGCTGTAAACCAGACACGCTAAGGCCCTAAACCCTAAACCCTAAGCCCTAAACCCTAAACCCTAAACCCTAAACCCTAAACCCTAAACCCCAAACCCTAAGCCCTAAACCCCCTAAAGAGACCAATCTCTGTCCCAGGGCAATACCTCTCTGTGGCCAGCGATGTGGTCCAGGCGTGGGAGCTGGAGCCAGGGGGTCTGCTTTTTGCGCTTCAGGGGTTTGAGGGTTCTTGTTTTCGGGGGTTTCGGGTTTAAGCCCAAAACCCTAAACCCTAAACGCTAAAGGGTTACAGGGTGCAAAGTGCTTTGGGGCTTGATGGGCTTAGCGTAGTTTAGGGTCTAGGGTTTCAGACCTGTTGATGCTTTATGATTCTGGGGTTGATATTTTCGGGCTCAGGTGTTAAGCTGGGTACTTTTTTTCCAGCCGTTTATACACCTATATACCTATATATATATATATACATACACATATATATGGTTATATCATATATCCTTTTCTAAAAGGTGCCCTACTTGGGAACTTGACCGTAGTAAACCTACACCCTAAGCCCGACCCCAAACCCTAAGCTAGGCCGGGCTTTTTTTTTTCCTGTCCTTAACAGATCTACAACTTCGTGTCCAAGTCGAACATGGCAGAGGTGGTCACACTGAAGGCGAGCGGGTGCATCGAGTGAGGGCTTTGTAGGGCCCACCCTAAAGAACCCTAAATCGCCTTCCGAAACCCCTAAACCCCTAAACCCCCTAAACCCCCTAAACCCCTAAACCCCTAAACCCCTAAACCCCTAAACCCCTAAACCCCTAAACCCCTAAACCCCTAACCCCCTAACCCCCTAAACCCCTAAACCCCTAAACCCCTAAACCCCTAAACCCCTAAACCCCTAAACCCCTAAACCCCTAAACCCCTAAACCCCTACACCCCTACACCCCTAAACCCCTAAACCCCTAAACCCCTAAACCCCTAAACCCCTAAACCCCTAAACCCCTAAACCCCTAAACCCCTAAACCCCTAAACCCCTAAACCCCTAAACACCTAAACCCCTAAACCCCTAAACCCCTAAACCCCTAAACCCCTAAACCCCTAAACCCCTAAACCCCTAAACCCCTAAACCCTAAGAGTTTTGCTGCTGTTTAGGGGTTGTGGGCTGGGCTGTAAGGGTCCCATGGTCCAGGGCTTCTGGTGGGTTTTGGGGCTTGTATCTTGGTCCGCAGAATCCGAAAACCCCCCCAGAAAACTCTGAAGGGACACCCTTCAAGGTCTGATGGAATTAGGGAAAGCCTTCAGGGCCTGAGGGGTTTAGGAGAACCCTTCAGTATCTGAAAATTTTTGCCGAAGCACTAGAGCCGGAAGAACCCCAAAGCTCTTGAGCCCTAGTGGCTTTTAAAACCCGCGTGCGGTAAAGCTCCAAAACGCCTACTGTAGGGGTCGGAATAATAGTAGTAGTATTCCCAAAAACCTATTCTAATTAGTAAGGCCCCTATATTAGGCCTTGAATCCTGAAAAAAGTGGAGGACCATGGCGCAGCGGTGCTGGACGTCTGCCCCTTCGGCGCGCACTTTGATGAATGCACTTTGGTGACCCCAAGTGCCTACATGGTACCTGAATTTTGGTGTAGGGTTACTTGGAGGTTCATGGTACTTATAACCTCATTATAGATGTACTTGTAACCTTTTCATTATAATCGTGTGATAAGTGCACTTACTGGTTGGTAGTTGCCATGAACCTCCAAGGGATGAGGGGTATACAAAAAGCCACCAAGACAGAAGGCCCTTGCAAGCTAAGCCTTAAACCCTGGTATGAATACAGGCCTCAAAGATGCTGGTCCCTGAATCTACCTGACATCCGAAACCCGAAGCCCGAAACCCTAAACCCCCTAAACCCTAAATCCTAAACCCTAAGCCCTAAACCCTAAACCCTAAACCCTAAACCTTAAACCCTAAACCCCTAAGTCCTCCGGGGGGCAGCCGTGCAAGCGCTTGAGGCTTCAGCCAGCATGCGATGTCCTTGGCCTCTGTGCTGCCCGGCTGTGCACAGATGGGGTTTAGGGTTTAGGGTTTAGGGTTTAAGGTTTGGGGTTTAGGGTTTAGGGGCAGCTCTTCGTTTATTCTTTCTCGTAAGCCTTCATACCCTGAGCCTTTCAGCTGTGTAGTTCTTTTGCTCTCTGAACCAGAGTTCCCTTGAAGCTGAACTAGCGCTGTAGATCAAGGTCTTGTTACTGTGAAGGCAACCTTTTCAGGGGACCCTTGTTCAGAGCAGGCCCCTCTCCCTAAAGTAAACCCTAAGCCCTTAACACAGATAAACCTCAAAACGCCGCAGCCTTAAACCCTAAACCCTAAACCCCAAACCCTAAAAGCCCCAAAGCCCCCAAAACCCAAAACCCAAAACCCCAAACCCCAAACCCCAAACCCTAAACCCTAAACCCTAAACCCTAAACCCTAAGCCCTAAGCCCTAAGCCCTAAAACCCTGAGGTCCATGGATCGCACGCTCAAGATCTTCAAGAGCGCCTGAGAAGCGACGCGACGCGCTGTGGCAGCGGGGCTCCTGCATTCCTTCACCTGCCAAAGCCTACTCGCAAGTTAGGCACCCGAAACCCTATACCCCAAAACCCTGTCAGGCGTTAGGGTTTAGGGTTTAGGGTTTAGGGTTTAGGGTTTAGGGTTTAGGGTTTACGGCTTCGGGCACCTGGAAACCCTGGGTTGCGAAGTCGGAAAACCCCAGGTCCGAAATGCGAAACCCTAAGCCCTAACCCCTACAGACCCTAAGCCCCATACCCTTGTGAAAACCCTAAACCCTGATTTCTATAAACCCTATAAACCCTAAATCCACCAGCTAGCACGAGCCCCGACGGTCACACCGTAATTCACTCGGAGCGGGCGGCTCCCCGCCGGAAGACGAGCGTGGGTTGCGCAGGTAAGCCCTAGTAAGTTAGGGTTTAGGGTTTAGGGTGTAGGGTTTAGGGTTTAGGGTCTAGGGTTTAGGGTTTAGGATTTAGGGTTTAGGGTTTAGGGTTTAATTAGGGTTCAGGGTTTAGGGTTCAGGGTTTAGGGTTTAGGGTTTAGGCTCCACATAGCCCATAGTAGGTACTACGTATGGGCGGATGGACCCCAATGTCTAGGTGTCATGTATTCTGAGTACCTCAACCCCTTTTGCTCTCTTTGGGTCCGGGCCACCAAGACAGTATCTGGTGATTTTTGGGGATTGTCGGGGAGGGGCTAATCTGCCCCTAAACACTAAGCCCACATACCCTAAACCTCACTCTAGAAGGATCTGGAAGGGGTCAGGGTGGAGTGTCTGAGTCATTGCTGGGCGTCTTCATTGGCCAGTCGCGACTATGCCGTGCCTTACGCTGTAGCCGGAGTGTCAGGTGCGTAAAAGCGGCCGCAAGAGCTAAACCCTAAACCCTAACCCCCGAACCCTAAACCCAAAACCCTAAAATCCCGTCCACTTACAGGTGGAGCGTTTGCTTAGAGCCCAGGGACAAACCCTCCCCCCCCCTCTGTACTGGCTTCAACAACTCCAATGAGACCAAGAATACGAAGGGTCCGTAACGGGGTGTACGATCTTAGGGGTACCTTATTGGGGTCCTTAGGATAAGGGGATCCTACTATTTGGGGGTCTATATTGGGGGTACTCGACCCTTTCTAAACTTTGTGTATAAACCCAAGCACAGGTCGTGTGTCACACGTCTCTTTGAGGTGCAGAGACCCCAAACACCCAGACCTGTAAACACAAAACCCCCGAAGCCCTAAACCCTCTATCCTCAACCCTAAACCCTCGCCTCGTTGGGCTCTCGGCTTTGTGAAACACTTCAAGTACTTCCCAAACTGTCTCTGCTCAGTGTCAGCACTGTCAGAGCATAGCAAGGCACAGATTTCAGTGCCGTCTGAGGTTTTCGCCCTCTGCGGCCCCTTTGACGGTCACCACATGGACAAGATGGACAGCTGCCCAGGCGATGGCTGCTGCATGCCACAAGGGGGGTTTACGATACTGGGGGTACCTTATTGGGGTCCTTGTTATAAGGGGATCCGGCAATTTGGGGGTCTATTAGGGGTCCCTTATCATCGTAAAGAACAAGCAGAAAAAGCACCACAATCGTAACAGAAATTAGGGAGATGAGAGCGAGAGTGAGAGCGTGCAAGCGAGAGCTTGGCGTGCGAGCGAGAGTGAGATGAAGAGAAGGACAGAGGTAGAAGGGGAAGGTGCATGTTGGCCAGCCGCCAGTGGATCCGCTCGAGATGGAGGCCCAAGGCTCTATGAATGCAAGTTCGAATTGTGACCCACATGATGATCCCGGTCCAAGCCAGCAACAGCATGCTTCATACCCGGATCTCAGCAAGAATCCATGTGCTGTTAAAACAATGCCGATGAACTGCCGTATCCCATCACGGTTGCGATGCGATCAGGTGGCTCGGCACAAAGTCTGGAGTTTTGGGGTATTGATGGAAGATTGTGGCAGCGGTTGGTGTTCTGGTCTCTAGGATGACAGAGAAGAGGTGTAGGACCAAAAGTATAATGTGCCGTGAGATTTTTTCGGCACCTGCGAACACATATTGTCCACCATCTCAAGCAGGATGGTTACTTAGCAGATGTAAGGAGGGCCCTAATAAGGCTTGGAGATTGCTAGCTACTTAAGCAAGAGCCCGAATTCAGCTTACCCAAAGGGTCCATGTACCAACATAGTATATACTTGGGCCTTAAAGGGATTCCTATACAGTAGCTTCAGGGCCCAAATATGTACTAGAGGGGTACATGGACCCTGAGGGTTGTCAGTCTGACGCGATCAGGCATGCATGGGGCGACTCGACAGCTGGCTTCTGGCCCCGTCAACTTCCACCGCAAAGAAGTGCAGGACGATTGTGACGGGAGGACGGAAGCCAGCCTGCGCTCATCTCTACCAGGATGGCTCTGTGGCCATTGAGGGGCCTTCGCACTTGATTATCGATTTCTGCCGTGTGCAGAACCGACTGTTCGATGTGCGGCAGATTGCGGCGACGTCCTCGGCATTCGCAGCTTTGCGAGGGGACGGAGCCGTAGAGACCTGGGGAAACCCCAATCAAGGAGGTGACAGCACGGCGGTGCAAAGCCAGCTTCAGGAAGTGAAGAGCCTGGCTGCGACCGACGTAGCTTTCGCTGCACTTCGGCACGATGGGACCGTCGTGACGTGGGGTGACCCCTATGACGGGGGCGACTCTCGAATGGTTCGCAATGAGTTGAAGGAGGTCGAGCAGATCGCCGCCTGCTCGTGTGCCTTCGCGGCGCTCCTGGGCAGTGGTCGGATAGTGACATGGGGAGATCACTTCGATGATGAAGGGCCCATTCGAGAGCTGCGCCACGTGAGGGAGATCAGGGGACTGCAGGCTCACGCAGCTTTTGCGGCGCTGCTGCGCGACGGCACGGTGGTGACCTGGCAGGAGCCGGAGCTGAGACCCTCGGCTGCCACGCAGCGGCTGCTGCGCGGCGTGGTCAAGCTGGAGTCATCTGGGCACGGCTTCGTGGCATTGAGGAGCGATGGCGTGAAAGTTTCCTGGGGTGACAACTTGGAAGATGTACACAGACCTGATAGAAGGAGAGCTGCGTCTCGACGGCACAGAACTAGATGCGCGTAATTTCCAAAGCAGAGACTCTCAAAATACTCCAGCGGCTCAGAATCAGGAACTCCCTCCGCTTTTAAGCCAGTCAGGCTTTCTGCTTCTAGGAGGTTCATATAGGGTTTACAGTTTGGACACAATGCTGCACCAGGTCGGAGATCGGGTGAAGATATCCTCTGAGCGGAATCGCCTGAAATTGCAACATGGACCCTAACACCCTAAACCCTAAACCTTAAATTCTAAACCCTAAACCCCAAACCCCAAACCCTAAACCCTAAACCCTAAACCCTAAACCCTAAACCCTAAACCCTAAACCCTAAACCCTAAACCCTAAACCCTAAACCCTAAACCCTAAACCCTAAACTGCATTTGTATAGGACGAATGAATGGAAGCAGCGGAACTGCAACTTGGGCTTCGGCCCCAAGTCTCGTTTGTGGGCCCCGGCACCTGCAAACCCCTGAGATGCTAAGAATTAAGGGCTTAGGGGGTAGGGTTTAGGGTTAGGGTTTAGGGTTTAGGGTTTAGGGTTTAGGGTTTAGGGTTTAGGGTTTAGGGTTTAGGGTTTAGGGTTTAGGGTAGATCCCCATGTTCAAGGACAGTGCAAGGGACCCACCAACATCAGGAGATAGCTTTAGTTCCTGTTTTTGTCCAGCTCTTCTTCACCAGTTTTGGCATGAACCCATTCAACGGATGGTTCTGTGCCAGTGAATGCCCAGGATGCGTGCTTTCAGCTTGCATCTTGGCCTTTACTGGGGGCCCGCCCCAGGGCATTCTGCCTTGGGGCGGCCCTTTGGCCTCCTCGGCGCTGTTGGCTTTCAGCCCACGGCACGCGGAGACCTGGTGTGGCCTGTACAGCTGGTGCCTTTGCTCCGGAGCTTGAACTCTACGTGCGACGTGAGGAATCGCGCAGCTTGCTGGCATCTGCCGCGGGCTGCCGCGGAGTACGACTTCGCACACCTCTGTTCCAAGCCCCGGCTGCTCTTAAAACGTCAGCCCTGAACTGTGCCGCCCCCCCAGCCCTCAAGCCCCCCCTTCAAAGCCTTAGCCCAAGCTTGGGTTCGTTGAGGCTTTTGGCCGAAGGTTCAAGAGCCTCGGGAGCGTGCTATGTGGTTTGGGGTCTGAAGCTGAAGCCCCAAAATTCCCAAACCGTTAAAAACCCTAAAGCCCTAAAGCCCTAAAGCCCTAAAGCCCTAAAACCCCAAAACCCCAAAACCCTAAACCCCAAAACCCTAAACCTCAAACCTCAAACCTCAAACCCTAAACCCTAAACCCCAAACCCTAAACCCTAAACCCAAAACCCCAAACCCTAAACCCCAAACCCTAAACCCTAAACCCTAAACCCTAAACCTTAAATCCCAAACCCTAAACCCCAAACCCTAAGGGGCACCATGCGGAGGCCTGGAGAGGTGGATCAACGCCACTCACATGGACCATCACCACCACTGGCATCCCAAGTGGCTGAGTGCGCTCCTGAGCTCTCTTGAACCCTGAACCCTGAACCCTGAACAGTAAACCCAAGAACCACAACCCTAAACCCTAAACCCTAAACCCTAAACCCTAAATCCTAAACCCTTAACCCTAAACCCTAAACCCTAAACCCTGAACCCTGAACCCTGAACAGTAAACCCAAAAACCACAACCCTAAACCCTAAACCCTAAACCCTAAACCCTAAACCCTAAACCCTAAACCCTAAACCCTAAACCCTAAACCCTAAACCCTAAACCCTAAACCCTAAACCCTAAACCCTAAACCCTAAACCCTAAACCCTAAACCCTAAACCCTAAACCCTAAACCCTAAACCCTTAACCCTAAACCCTAAACCCTGAACAGTAAACCCAAAAACCACAACCCTAAACCCTAAACCCTAAACCCTAAACCCTAAACCCTACTGTAAACCCTAAACCCTAAACCCTAAACCCTCAACCCTCAACCCCAAGGGCTTAAGGGCGCCAGAACCCCAAAACCCTAATCCCTAAACCCTAAACCCAGCTGAGGGGGCCCTTAGAGTGTGTGGGTGGGGTTCCTCAGCCTGTTTGCATTTGCCGGGCTTCCCACGACGGCATCTTCATAAGGCAACTTCAAGTTCGAATTCGAGCAAAGTGCGCCCTAAATTTTATTGAGCCTCCGGCTCAGGCCGCCAACCCAAGAGGTCGCAAACCAGAAACAGCCAACCATTGCGCAAGCTTTAACCCTTAAAACATAATTATCAGTATTGTAGTAGTCATGATAGTAGTAATAATAGTAATTGTATACTAAACCCCCAACAACCATGAACCCCGGACCCTATAAAAAGCCTTTCCCACTACCCAACCTGGCGCTGCATATGGAGCTGCTTGCTCTAGCTGCAGCCTGCACTCTCGTGAGCCTTGCTTAGGGCCCTTCTTTGCGCTTTGGGGGGTTTTGGCAGGGGCTCTTATTGCATAAGCAGGAAAAGGAGACTAACCCTGGTGCTGGGGGTGGGTTAGGGGGGGCAGGTAAGGGGGAGGGGTAGGGTGGACGGGCTTGTCGCCGCTACCTGCCACGAACCCCCACAAGTTTCCCACAACCTCGACCCCGAGCCCCAAGCCCTCAGGCCTGAAGCCCATGGCCCTAAAGCCCAAAAGCCCTAAAGCCTTGAAGCCCAAAACCCAAAACCCTTCAACCCTACTAAACAGCCCTGAACCCTGAACCCCTAATAGGCCTAAACCCTCAGCCGAAATCGGAATAGTTGCTGATCGTGTTCCCTTAAGGTCCCTTTACAAGAATGCTTTAATCAACACCCCCCCCCCCCCCAAAAAAAAAAAAAAAAAAAAACCTATTTTAGTTATTCAGGCCCCTACTCCAACCCCCAGGCTCGAACGACATGCACCACGGACACCATTGGCATCCTCACTGGCTGCACGGACCGGCCCGATACCTTAAACCCTAAACCCTAAACCCTAAATCCTAAACCCTAAGCCCTTTGCCCTGAAACCCTAAACCCTAAACCCTGCTCAACCCTACAAGCCCTAAGCTGCGAACCCTCCCATGCCCCAAACCACACATGGTCAGCTCTCATCTCTTAGAAGGAGGGTCCCTTCTTCAGCACCTTGAACGCTTGTGGCCGCCTGAAAATAGTAGCCCCTAAAAGGACCATCAGGTTCAGGGTTTAGGGTTTAGGGTTTAGGGTTTAGGGTTTAATGTTGCACTGTCTTTAGTGTGGGCCCCCCCCCCCCCCCCCAACAAATTTGGACCCTCTATAAACTCGTGGCCCGGCGACCCCCCCAAACAAATTTAGGGGGACCTGAATTTTTTGCGACCGAGCGAAAGGACAAAGGTCTCTTGGGCCCTTGGGAAGCCTCAGATCGATAGACCCTAAGCCAACTACACCCTAAACACAAACCTTTACACGAAGCCCTTAAAAAAGAATCAGCTCTCCGGAAAAACTTGTCATAATAGAGGGTACCCTGAACAAACTCGGTTCGCTGAATGAATTTTCGAAACTTGTGATTATAGACCCTCCTTATACTAAAAGCAGTCCAACATTAGGGTTTAGGGTGGTATCCTACACCCGACATGCAGTACCCCGAATGCTGACCTCGAGATGATAAGCTTTCGCAAAGGGTTGCCGGAGGCCCCCGCAATGAATTGTTTAGGGTTTTGGGTTAGGGTTAGGGTTTAGGGTTTAGGATTTAGGGTTTAAGGTTTAGGGTTTAGGGTTTGGGGTTTAGGGTTTAGGGTTTAGGATTTGGGGGTTTTCAGGGAATGCTGCGGATGAGGTCTTGTTGTGCTTCGCCAAAGGTGCGTGGAGAACCCTAAACCCTAAACCCTAAACCCTAAACCCTAAACCCTAAACCCTCAACCCTAAACCGTAAACCATAAATCCCAAGACCTAAACAATATAAGCAGGGTAGCGCAAGTTGGGGCACAGCTGAGCAAAGCAAAGAGTGTTGGACTACCCGATGCCCTAAACCTTATGAACCCTACACCCCCAAACGCTCCCCAAACCCTAAACCCTAAACCCTAAACCCTAAACCCCAAACCTCAAACCCCAAACCCCAAACCCCAAACCCCAAACCCTACATGCCCAGACGCTCCCTGTAGGACGCTTCCATGGACACCATGACGTGCAGCCTTTCCAAAATGTGGTGCCGCCGACGCTCGGCTCGTTTCCTTAAAAGCCATTGAAGGCTTCTCGGGTTTAAGGGCTTAAGGGCTTAACCCTAAATCCGAAGCTCTAAACCCTATAAACCCTGAACTCACCCTGAAACCGTAAGGGTTTTGGTGGAATTTCAAGCCTCAACCTTTCGCGTGCAGGGCTTAGGAAGGGTTTGGGGGCTCCCTGCGAGAGTTTGACCGCCAGAACGCAGTTCAGAAATTCAAGTTCAGGGCTGCTTTCCGAGCTCTTTGGGCTTAGGGTTCAGGGTTTAGGGTTTAGGGTTTAGGGTTTAGGATTTAGGGTTCAGGGTTTAGGGTTCGGGTCTAGGTCCTATAGGTGACTCTCGCACATGGCGCCCGAAGTTTTTCTGGAATTGTCGGAGAGGGCCAGCTGAACAAGGAGGGCATTACCATGGAGGACCAATCGATTCTCCGCATCAAGGAGGGCGACGAGTTTAAGTTGAAGTGAATACCCTAAACCCTAAACCCTAACCCTAAAGCCTAAACCCTAAAGCCAGAATTGCTTCGTTGCATACAGAAAGCAGAGGACAAAGCATTCAAGGAGTGCTTTATCTGCCGAGCCTCACCACACACCATTCTTGCAGGGTTTTTAGGGTTTAGGGTTTAGGGTTTTAGGGTTTAGGGTCTAGGGTTTAGGGTTTAGGGTTTAGGGTTAGGGTTAGGGTTTAGGGTTTAGGGTTTAGGGTTTAGGGTTTAGGGCTTTGGATCATCAGCCTGAAGCTGTTAGACTTTAAATCTCAAGTGCAGACCTTGAAACTGGCACCTGGCAAGTTGCGAGCTCTTTATCGGAACCTTACAACTTGTGCCCTCCTTCAACCCTTTCGAGGGCATGTATAAGGAATATCATAGAGCACTAAGAAAGACTTGAGCCTTCAACCCGTTTCGGATGTAGGATAGGGTTTAGGGTTTAGGGTTTAGGGTTTAGGGTTTAGGGTTTAGGGTTTAGGGTTTAGGGTTTAGGGTTTAGGACTTAGGGCTTAGGGCTTAGGGCTTAGGGCTACTTAAAGGCTTAGGGTTTAGGGTTTGTGGGCCTCCCACTCCCTTTGCTTGGCATCATGTGAGGTTTAGCGCAGGAAGCTGCCCGAGAACCCTGAGACAGCAGAATTGGGTTTAGCGTTGGAGGGCCGAGGGCTTAGAGTAGACCGAAACCCAAATACCAAAAACTAAAGCCCCGACCCAAAAACCCTTATGAACCTAAATTCTATAACCCCGAAGCTCCAAGAACCCTAAACTCTATAAACCCTAAACCCTAAACCCTAAACCCTAAACTCTATAAACCCTAAACTCTATAAACCCTAAACCCTAAACCCTAAACCCTAAACCCTAAACCCTAAACCCTAAGACCCTTGGGGCGCTGCTTTAGGGGGGGCTCAGGGAGGCAACAGGTCCGGGGATGACGCAGGTTGGCTGTCCCGGACATGCCGGCTGACCTGGAAGGCCGAGATTTACGTGGGGTTTTGGTTTAGGGTTTAGGGTTTAGGGTTTAGGGTTTAGGGTTTTCAGGGTTTTCAGGGTTTGCAGGGTTTACAGGGTTTAGGGTTCAGGCTCTGGGGTTTTAGGGTTTTCGGGCTTTAGGGTTCTAGGGGTTTTGGGCTTTTGGGGTTTAGAGCTTTGTCTTTTTTTGGGGTTTAGGGTGTTAGGGTTCTAGAGTTTTGGGTTTACACAGGTAGTAGGGTTCTAGGGTTTTAGGGTCTTGACCGGTTTGGGAGTTCAGGTTGGGGTCCCAGAGAACGTTATGCCTTTTCAGTTCTAAGTGAGTTGGAACTACGAGTCCCTGCTTGTT